CTGTAAAGTCGTATCTACTTTTTCATTTTTAAGTATCTTTTAACTGAAAAATATCTCTTTGATTTTTATTTTAAGTTCTGGGATACATGTGCAGGACCTGCAGGTTTGTTACATAGGTAAACATGTGTCATGATGGTTTGCTGTACCTATCAACCCATCACCTAGGTATTAAGCCACATATGCATTAGCTATTTATCCTGATGCTTTCCCTCACCCCACTGTGCTCCCTCTCCATAGGACCCAGTGTGTGTTATTCCCCTTCCTGTGTCCATGTGTTCTCACTGTTCAGCTCCCACTTATAAGTGAGAATATGTGGTGTTTGGTTTTCTGTTCCTGTGTTAGTCTGCTGAGGATAATGGCTTCCAGTTCCATCCATGTCCCTGCAAAGGATATGATATAGTTCCTTTTTATGGCTGCACAATATTCCATGGAGTGTATGTACCACATTTTCTTTATCCAGTCTATCATTGATGGGCATTTGAGAGTTGATGCAACTCAAACGTAACCCAAAACTATAAAAACCCTACAAGAAAATCTAGGCAATGCCATTAAGGACATTAGCACAGGCAAAAATTTCATGATCAATACCAATTGCAACAAAAGCAAGAATTGACAAATGGGATCTAATGAACTAAGGAGCTTCTGTAAGGCAAAAGAAACTACCATCAGAGTGAACAGACAAACTACAAAATGGGAGAAAGTTTTTGCAATCTATCCATTTGACAAAGATCTAATATCCAGAATCTGCAAGGAACTTAAACAAATTTACAAGAAAAAAAAAAACCATTAAAAAGTGGGCAAAGGACATGAACAGATACTTCTCAAAAGAAGTCATGTATGCAGCCAACAAGCATGAAAAAAAGCTCAACATCACTGATCGTTAGAGAAATGCAAATCAAAACCACAATGAGAAACCACTCACACCAGTCAGAATGGCGATTATTAAAAAGTCAAGAAACAACAGATGCTGACAAGGCTGTGGAGAAATAGGAATGCTTCTACACTGTTGGTGAGAATGTAAATTAGTTCAACCATTGTAGAAGACAGTGTGGTGATTCCTCAAAGACCTAGAACCAGAAATACCATTTGACACAGCAATCCCATTACCTGAAGGAATATAAATCATTCTATTATAAAAATACCTCCACATGTATGTTCACTGGAGCACTATTCACAACAGCAAAGACATGGAATCAATCCAAACGCTCTCACTGATTTTTAATATATTTTTGTTATAGTAATATCACAATTTCTTATCAGGTTTTAGGTAGTAACTTTCCTTTGCTTCAAACAGCCTCCTACAGCATTTGACTTCTAATTCAAAAGCTAACTGAGTAGCTTCCAAAAGGAAAATCGTAACAATGAGCTGGATCAAAAGAGTGTGTAATGTGTCAAAAGGAAACTACACTATTCCTAAATGAGTTATTTACTAATAACAAAGAGGAAGTGCTATGGTAATAATTCTCACCAAAAAAATATAATTTAATGATGCTCTTAATGATGTTCTAAGCAACTCTCATACCATATTAGTTTACGGTCAGTCTGCAGTTGCAGATAGAGTCTGAAACAAAGTTGGCAATTGACTAAGAAATCCCAGCTGGTAGTCATGTTAAATTTCCAATATACTGCAGGAAATGTTGCCAGTGATTCAACAGGTGACACCCCTCCCCTTTTTCTTTTTTCTGAGTTACAATAAACTGAAACAAAATTGCCCCAGAAGTTCTGTTACCAACTAAAAGAATTAAACATAAAAATTCCACTGCAATGTTTCAAAAAATAAAACACTGAATCTGAACAGACAAGAAATATTGTTTCCATCAACATTTATATACCACCTCTAAAGCATATTAACAGAATAGCCCAATGAGTATGTCTATATAGTACTCATATCTTCAACATTCTAATTATCCTAAGTTTACATTCAAAAGATTAATTATAAATTTCAATACATTATAACAAGTACATGGAACTCAAGTAACCCACAAAAATATAAAGAAAAATTAATTTTGGATGCATTGGATATTGTGAAAATTGATTATATACATTGGAATTATCTTGTTATACCCAATTAAATTAGAGTCACGAGACCAGGGGGGAAGAAAAGGAAACGAAAAGCATTTAGGGAACAAGCACCTGCACAGGGATTATCTGGCAAGCCAGCTGCTGAAATGACCTATTATAACCTTAAGATCAGTTTTACCTAGTAGCTGCGGAAACGAACTGCTGTAACTCTAAGACTAGTTTTACCTTCCACAGTCACTCACAAATCAGAGCATGCCAGCTCCCAAAAACTTTGCTAGTGCCAATGCATTTTCTTTCAAAACAACGCATAACATTTCTCTAATAAAAACCTCAATCTTTTCTTTGTTCTTTGGACATACCAAAGACCAATGCAGTCTGTGTGTATGCCCAAATTACAATTCTATTGTCTCAAATAAAACGTGTTGTTCAGAGATTCATCTCTATATTTGATTTCTGTTGATAATATCCAACTATATTTTATTCTAATACACTATTTTAGAGACCAGTTATAACATGTTGCTCATGATAAACATCTGAAACTAGTTCAATTAGTAAACATCTATCTCTGTCAAATCTGCATTTTTACAATACATCTGTGCAACTCAGTGTTGAGAGGGGATTTACCAAACATACCTCTCTGGCAATGTTACTCAAAGCTTCATCTTCTGCAGAAAATCGGTCTTTCACAGGTGTTCTTTTCCTCCCAGAACCAGGAGTCCCCATCTTGTGTTCTTAACAGTCTTTTAACTTTGAAAGTGATTTAACTGTGTTTTCAGCCCTGAAGTAAACAAAAACATAGTAATTTCTTTCTTTCTGTGCGATTTTCATGTTCATTTATACATTCACTTTTAACAGAGAAATTGTATTTCTTCTTAGAGAAATCAGTCACCAAATACCTCTTCCCACTACCAAATTATTCCAATAAATTTTAGAATATTTAATTTTATACTAATTACTAAATCTCCCAACTCTTTTCACTATGCTACCCACGGCAACCTGTGAGAGTGTATTATAATATTAGCCTCAGAAAGCTGCCATCAGCAGAAATTCTACTTAACCACTTAAAATTACTATAGCTGGGCAGCCTGGCCAACATGGTGAAACCCTGTCTCTACTAAAAATACAAAAATTAGCCAAGCAGGGTGGCACACATCTGTAATCCCAGCTACCCGGGAGGCTGAGGCAGGAAAATCACTAGAACCCAGGAGGTAGAGGTTGTAGTAAGCCAAGATTGTGCTACTCCAGCTTGGGAGACAAAGTGAGACTCTGTCTCAAAATAAATAAATAAATAAATAAATAAATAAATAACTATAGTTATTTCTAAAACCAATCTCCATCCCAGAATGAAAAACATTTCAGAAGTTATTCAGCCTAAAGTTTTAGAAGATGTTCAAGAGGTTTTACTACTAAGCCTTATAGTTACAAAACTAACTTTGCCTTTTAGTGTAATTTAAGAAAAATTCCAATTAAATCACAACAACGCCAGACACGGTGGCTCTCACCTGTAATCCCAGCACTTGGGGAGGCTGAGGCGGGCAGATCACTTGAGGCCAGGAGTTCGAGACCAGCCTGGCCAACGTGGTAAAACTCCCATCTCTACTAAAAATACAAACATTAGCCGGGCGTGGTAATGCATGCTTATAAACCCAGCCACTCCGGTGGCTGAGGCACAAGAATCACCTAAACCCAGGAGGCAGAGATTGCAGTGAGTCAAGATCATGCCACTGGACTCCAGCCTGGG